AGGTTCAGTTATTCAGTATTTATTTGGTTTTGGGTGAGTAAGTGATCTTTGAGAAGAGACTTGAATTTATAAACAGGTAGTGTTTCTTTTATACAATAAGTGTCAGGGGCCCGAGACTGTTCAACTGCCTCCCAGCACACATAAGGGGGATTACCAACAGACCCCTGGCAGTCTTCAAGCTGGTACTGGACAAGCACCTGAAGTCAGTTCCTGATCAGCCGGGCTGTGGCTCGTACGTTGGTTTGCGTGCAGCCAGCAGCAACAGCCTGGTTGATCAGGCGCTGATCCACCAGGAGGCCTGGTCACAGACCGGGCCGCGGGGGCGTTGACCCCCGAAACTCTCTCCAGGTAAACTCCAGGTAAACAGGTAATGAATTCCAGATTTTAGGGCCTTTTATGTGCATTGAGTTTTTGCATAGTGTGAGATGTCACGAGGAACATCAAAGAGTGATCTATGCCTTGTGTTATGGTCATGTGTTCTGTTGAGGTTGGCAAGGAGATGTTTGAGGGAAGGGTTAATATCAGAGTTAAGTGTTCTATGCATGTAATAGGTGCAGTAATAAGTATGGATGTTTTGTATGGTGAGTAGGTTTAGTGTATTGAATATTGGTGGAGTGTGCTGCCTGTAGTGAGAATTTGTTATCATTCTAACTGCAGCCTTTTTTTGGGTAATTAGTGGTCTGAGATGGTTAATTGTTGTTGAGCCCCATGCACAAATTCCATAGGTGAGATAGGGGTAAATAAGAGAGTGATATAGGGCCAGGAGGGCTGACTGTGGAACATAGTACCGTATCTTCGATAGTAATGCCTACAGTCTTGGAAATTTTCTTAGAAATTTGTTGTATATGTGTATGAAATTTGAGTCTATTATCAAGGTGGATTCCTAAGAATTTTTCCCTCTGTTAGCTTTGTGATAGGTGATCCATTTATCTTTATGTTAAGAGGGACATCTGTAGCTCTGTTACCAAACTGAATGAAGTAGGTTTTGTCAATGTTTAGTGTAAGTTTGTTAGTCCTCATCCAGGTAGATATTTTCTGTAATTCGGTATTTACAGTATTGGCTAGCGTGACTGGGCTCGGGTGGGAGAAGACGTATGTAGTGTCATCTGCAAATAGTGTGGGTTTGAGTAATTGCGAAGCATTTGGTAGGTCATTTATGTATAGGAGAAAGAGAAGAGGGCCAAGGACACTTCCCTGTGGGACACCAACTGTAATTGGTTGTGCAGAAGAGTTTGCCCCATTTGCGTACACATATTGGCTTCTGTTGCTGAGGTATGACTTGAGGTAGTTGAGGGAGTGCCCTCTAATACCATAGTGTGACAATTTTACGTGGAGCAAGTCATGGTCAACTGTATCAAAATGCTTTACGTAAGTCAATGAAGATCCCCGTGGGACTTCTTTTTTCTCTATTGCAGTGTATATATGTTCTAGCATGTGTATAATAGCATCATTAGTATTTTTTTAGGCCTGAATCCAAATTGGCAGGGGTTGAGTATTTTTTGGGGGAGATAAGGTAGGAAGTAGATTCGTTTATGAATTAATTTTTCGAAGATTTTTGAGAGAGGGTGTAAGTTGGATATTGGCCTATAGTTATTCAACTCTGTTTGGTCTCCTCCTTTGTGGATCGGGGTGACCCTTGCTATTTTGAGTACAGTGGGGAAGGTGGAGGATTCAATGGATTTGTTAAAGAGTGTTGCAATGATTGGTGATAGCACTTGTGACATTTTTTTTGTATATAAAGGGTGGTAAGGTATTTAAATCTCCTGCCTTGTTTTTTAGTGGGGTTGATAATAAGGGAGACTTCGTATGGGTTAGTCGGAGCTAGGAACAGTGTGTTCGGGTAGTTGCTGGTGAGGTAGTCATTTGGTGGGGTATCTGAGCTTGGGATTTTATTGGCAAGGTTTTGTCCTATAGTGGAGAAGAAATCATTGAGTCTGTTTGCTGTTTCTGTTGGTGGGAGTTGGGGTTCATCTGATTTTGCTAATTTTATTTCGCTATTTCGTGATATCTTTTTTGTTCCCAGAATTTCTGATAGGGTTTTCCAGGTCTTTTTTATATCACCTCGTAAGTTGGATAATCTGTTCTCATAATACAATTTTTTTGCCCTTCTTATCAGGCTGGTTAGGATTGACGAGTAACGTTTTGTTTGGTCTCTGGTTATGCGACCCATTCTGTACTGTTTTACATATTGGTGTTTTGTATTTATGGATTTGAGAATGCTGGGTGTTAGCCAGGGACTGTTCAGTCTCTTAGCTGTCATCTGTTTAGGTTTTTTTAGGGCAGTGCTTGTTATAGAGGTATTGGGTCTTTTTTATAAAATTATTAATACATTCGTCAATATCTGTATAGATTTCTAGCTCAATGTGCCAGTCAATATTTGCTACTGCTGTTGTGAAGTTATTAATGGCTGCCTCATTGTGAAGTCTGAAGGTGACTTTAGTAGTGTCTTGGGGAAAGTTTACCAAGAGTTGTTATGAGGAAAGTAGGGTAGTGGTCTGTGGTATTATCTGTAATTATGCCTGATTTTAAAGGGGATATGGTGTTGGTCCAGATGTGGTCAAGTAGGGAAACACTAGTCTCTGTAACTCTTGTAGGTTTTGTTACTGTTGGTAGCAACATACAGTTACTCTTTTGTGTTTGTGAATTCAGTACGTGTGGGTCCTGGTCTTGCAGGAGATTTATATTGAAGTCACCTGAGAGTAGTAAGTGATCTTTGTCATGCGTGCATCAGTTATCATACTTCCTAGGTTTTGACTAAATTGGCTAATGTTTGACTGTGGAACTCTGTAGATGTTTATCAATGTGAGAGGCTTTTGTAGGTATTTGGATTTGAATTTGGCTATTATATATTCCCCATGTTCATTCCCCTTTTGCAAGTATTAGTGATACATTCTAGTTGGTCTGAGTAGTATATGGCTGTGCCACCCCCTTGTTGGTCTGGCCTACAGTTGTGTATGGCTGTGTAACCAGGAATGGCATAGACATCTGTACTATCAGGCTTTAGCCAGGTTTCAGTTAGTGTAATGATGGACATATTGGCATGTAAGGAAAATTTTGTAATGCTATGAGGTCATCGTAATGCTTGCTTAAAGATCTGATATTGTAGTTAAAGATAGTTATGTTGTTGTTGGCACTGAGAAGTGCCTTTGATTGTTCTGCAGTGTAGTAATTACAGTAACTGTTTGATTCATTTAAGTCATTAAATACAGAGGTTGGTATCAGGATCAATGCTTGTAATCATAAGATTTGTAAATGAATCTATAGTTAGAATTAAGTATAAAACAAAGTAAATAGTCTTAAGCTAAAAAATAGCACCTGAATTATTTAACAAATGTAAAATAATGAGCTAAGGTAGTTTTTTTTTTTTTTTTTAACCTAAAATAAAGGAGACAATATAAAAGGGACTAATACAAATAAAGTGATGATCAAATAATGGAGCTTGGGAATATGATAGTAGGTAGTACTATAAAGGTAATTCTTTAAAGTTAGAATTTATAGTATAAAATTATAATATAAAAGGGACTAATATAAGTTGTGGTGAACAATAAAGTGGTAATCAAATAATGAGCTTTGGGAAAATAATGGCAAAATTGTGAACTTATTCTACTTTAGCACCTGAGAATAGCACCTTGATTATTTTAACAATTGTTAATATATAAACTAGGGTAGTTATATAAAGCTAAAATAAAGGAGAAAATATATAAGGGACTAAAATTAAGTAATGGTAAACAAAGTTAAATGGACAGATGGTCACTATGAAATAATATTGGTTTAGGAGTAAGATCTGATTTGTAATATTAAATAAATTGAGCAGTTTATGCACGATAAAAAGTAAAAAAAAATGAGGTAGTTGGTACTAGCTTTGCAAAAGATAGTTTTGGTACTTGCAAAAAAGTAATTGGAATATACACTAATTGCATACAAAATGAAAAGTGACTAAAAAACAAGTAGTGATAAACAAAATTAAATGGACAGGTAAGAATAATGAATAATATTAATTTGGAGTAAGATTTGACTTGTAATTTAAAATTATGAGCAATTAATAGCAGTAAGAAAGAAGTATAGAGTATTGGAGGTAGTTGGCATTAGCTAGTGAAGAAAAATAATAAAAATAATAATGCACAATATAATAGTAAGGTACACTATATGCACCACACGTATATATGTATTAAGGGCACTTATCTAATCTGTTACAGAAATGTCAGCTTTTCTAAGGAAGGTAGAGAAATCATGTTCGTTTGAGATGGTATATTGTTGTCCTGTTGATGTTTTCCTTACTAGTATTTTCCCATCTCGCGTGAAACACTGATGTATTTTGTTTTCCTGTTTAAGTTTTCTCAGCCTGAACAGAAGGTTTTGACGTTTTTTTGTTAGACACTCTTGATTATAATAATAATAATAATAATAATAATAATAATAATAATTCTAGTTTCTCCAACTTGAACCCACTGCTGCGAGTCTTGTCTTGGTTATATATTCACTAATATCTCCCAAAATAACAATATACACAGTTAATGTTATTATATGGTAAGAATCGGTGTTTATATTACGAAATGTTAACTAATGCCAAAGTTCCGACAAGTTGTAATTAGTAACTAAAACTTAAGCCAGTTATGTATTACTACACCTATGAAATGAGACACATCAATCCAGTTATTATATATTAGTATATCCATGAGAATCGTTATAGTACAGTAGTATGAATAATCAGCGTGTGATTATTAATTTTCAGACGCCCGGACTAAGAGCTTAATTAAGTTTAAATCATTTTCCTCGAGGTATCAAATAAGCTTCCGTGTAGCATGATAATTAAATATTACATGTGGTGGTGTCACAAACTGTGTAGTTATGTCATTAATAAGAGGAATAAGATGGCAAGCTGTTCTAGTGAGCGAAAGCAACCATCAGCTGATCTAATTCTAGGTGCACACTGGGGTCAACCCTTCAAGCCTTATTTACCACCACTGTCATGCATATCACCCAGCCTTCACCCAACTTACCCAAGTAATAATACATTAACTCTACAAAAGTAAACGAAATAGCCCTTTACCGCACTTAATTGTAGATAAATACTCAATATAAATCGGCGGCAACGTAAACACGTGCACTCACTACTATATACACACACTGCTACCTCACTCACACAGTTTCTTAACTTTGTTCATATTTTTCGAAAAGAAAACTCAGAAATTTTAAAATTTATCTTCTTTCGTATATTTCAGAACTACGCTTATTGTTTTTTGTTTTTGAAATTAATATATTTAATATAAGTCAAAGGACCCCAATGGAAATAAGTCACTCTGTCTGACTTTTTTGGGTTATCCTAGGTTCTCTACACATATGCTGCTATGTATGATAATTCTATGTAACTGTATTTGTGTATACCTGAATAAACTTACTTACTTACTTACTTACTATAAATTCATAAAGTCGTCATTAGAAGCACCCAGAAATATAAACATACTGATGGTTATTTTACTCTATTTCCCAGTTTTATTAGCAAAGTATAGACTCATAAGTGAAATTTTTAACATTTTATATTCATCTTACATAAAGTAATTAAAATTCTTTGCGAGTAAATCAAAGTTAAATTAATTATGACACCCTATATCCCTGATAAATGCATTCAAAATGCAACAATACTTAATGTAACGTATTGATTATCTAAACCAAAATAAATATTTATATACCTCTCTAGTGAGAGCATTTTCAAAGTAGCAGTAAAGTTAGCAATCAGTGGGAGCTACCATCCCGCAAGGCTTAGATGCAAGTTTTGCTAACAATGTTTTATCTTCTCTGAGGTTAGCAAAGACGCAATAACTCATAACAACCCACTAATTATCCTTTGAATCTATTATACATAATATATTTAGTTTTAAAACTCTTTAAGGTTCAGAAAAAAAAATAAAAACTCCCGTAGCAAGAATAACGAATGACAAAGAAACGGATGTACAATACTTCTGGAGTTATCGTACAGCTAAATAATAATTCACTACAAGATATTTAACTGCGTAATTCATATTAATAAACAACTTAGTTGTGGATACTGTATATCTTATAAGATTTAAGTTTCCGTGAAAACAGCTGCTGAAATATTGGAGAAAGTATTTGGCACAGAATATGCCAGCATCATGGCACATAAATAGCATTGATCACTTGAGGTCAATGGGCTCCTGGCTATGTAATAATCACAAGAACAATAAATTTATTACAAACCTATATGTAAATAAGACAAAAATATTATACTACAATATTCATTGAGGAAATGTTTCGGTTAAGAGATGGTTTTCAATCACTGGACTGAAAAAACGTCACCTATACGGTGGTATTTTAGACAACAATGGGAATACAGTACATCAAAGTGCCTTTGTTTAGGTTATCCTGATGAGTAACACATGTATGCAACACCTGAGTATCTGTATTGCCGAGTACATATGCAACATTTGAGTGCTGCATATGCGGTTCTCTGAACCACTTATCTACATTATTGCACGTTTGAACCAACCCTTTGTTAGTATTCCATTAATAATTACTTTATTATATACAATTTACGTCTGTAATTATCATGGACTTCATGCAGACACTGTATTAATGTTGGCAGAATTACCGACAATAAAGTTCCTGGAGAGCGAAACGTTGCCACAGTAAAATGTCACATTAGTTGCACTTGTGTCCTTTTACCTAACATTGCAGATATTGAACACAACATTGCAAAAACTATTTGTAAAGTTAACCTGAACATAATTAACTTAGAAGCAGTATATGTAACAAAATTACTGAGCAACAAGATACTGCCAAAAATATTAAAAAACTGCTGAGAGGGAAAATTTGACCAATGTATTATCTCTGATATCACTTGCTACTTAAGATATTCTACAGCGCTATACTTCATTAGTAAGTCCTCATTCAGATGACGTGGTGCAGTTTTATACTCCACAATACAAAATGGAGAAAATACATTGGAAAAAACAGAGGATGAGAAACTTAATTCACTGCATAAGGAATCTCATACGAAGACAGACTAAGAGCCCTGAATCTATATTCATGAAACACGTAGACTGTGGGTAGACAAATGAAGTATATAAGTTGGAGAATGGTATAAGAGATGCTGAGGATATCTAAGCAAGAAATAATTCGATAAATGGAATTCAAGTTGGATAAAAGCAGGTTTAGCGATGAGAAAGGAAATGCTGATATATAGAGTTTTAGAAGACAAGCAGAAGTGTATAAATAGAAAACAGGAATAAATAAAGGGGATAAAAATAAAGTGCTAAAAATATCTTACCAAGACAAGATTTGCAGCAATGGATTCAAGTTAGAAAATATTAGATTTAGAAAGGATATAGGAAAGCATTGGTTTGGTAACAGTTGTGGATGAGTGGAACAAACTCTTGAGTAGCTTTAAAAATAGGTTGGATAAGTACATAAGTGGGTTTGGTTGGATGTGACTTGGACCTGCCTAGCATGGGCCAGTAGGCCTGGTAAGTGCGACACATGTGTAACAGTTGAGTACCTTTATTCTGAAACGTTTCTCCTACACTGTAGACTTCTTCAGTCGAGTACAGAGAAGTTGATAGAAGCAGTGGAGATGTGAAGACGATGTAATTAATCCATCACCCTTTTACAAGTGGGACTACATCTAACCTTCTGACAGTATACAAGGCTCCATACTGCCACTTCAAGTCTTCAACTTCACATTGTTTCAGAATATGGAACAAATACTCTTCTCTAGGCTGAGGAACTGACCACCTCAGAACTACGTCTTAAAGGTTAGTTAGTTTAATATGTTTATTATGCACCCCATACCCATCCTGTGGGCGGTAGTCAAAAGATTACAGGGGTACATAATTGGTCCAGGGACTGGACTCCAAAGTTATCTTGATAGCTGAGCAAGTTACAGAGGTAATGAACTCACAATTTACAAAGGTAATGAACTCCAGGTAAGTCTGGTCACAATCATGACAAGTTACAAAGATATTTACAGATTACAGAGGTATGTAATGGGTCCAGGGACTGGGCCCCCAAAGTTTTGATAGCTGAACTAGGTACAAGGGTAATGAGCTCACAAGTTACAAAGGTAATGAATTCTGTAGAATGGTTACTTACGTTTATACTTTGGCTACAATCATGAACAAATTATAGAGTAATGAGCAATTCACACTTCCACACCCGGTCACAACTGTAATGAGTTATTGGTGCAAATATTGATTGTTGAGTCACACACACCACACACACACACTTTAGTTTAATATCTTTATGCACCCCATACCCATCCTGTGGGCGGTAGTCAAAAGATTACAAAGGTACATAATGGGTCGTCTTAAAGGGAGATGAACCGATAACATCGTCTTCACAACTCTACTGCTTCTACCAATTTTTCTGTACTCGACTGAAGCCTATTGTGTAGACGAAACGTTTCGGAATAAAGATACCTAACTGATGCACATGTGTCTTATTGAGGATATGGTATGGTGATACCGACAAGACGTGGAAAAAGACACTTATGTACAGTTCAGGACATTTATTAAAGGAAACGTTTCGCCACGAGTGGCTTCTTCAGTCCTAATGCAGAGAAAACTAAGAAAACGCGTATATATAGTGGCAGGAGTCAGGTGAAGCGACGTGTGGGTAGAGGTGGTAGTCGTAGTGCAACAAAGGTGGGACAGATGGTTACAGAGGGACTTGTTGACATCATGTAACAGCAGTTTGCAGAATCGGTAATATCCTGTTGATTAGCAATTTTGAGATACTGTAACTACCGGACTTTTGCTTTATAGTGTTACTGACAGCAGCACAGAAGCTGGAGAGTTTATCTGGAGATCTGGAGAGAGTTCCGGGGGTCAACGCCCCCGCGGCCCGGTCTGTGACCAGGCCTCCTTAGGTCAGTGTCCCAGGATGCGACCCACACCCAGGTACCCATTTTACTGATGGGGAACATAGACAACAGGTGGAAAGAAACACGTCCAATGTTTCTACTCGGGCTGGGAATCGAACCCAGGCCCTCACCGTGTGAAGCGAGAGCGTTAACCACCAGGCCACCAGAGCCACTAATTGCCCTAATTGCTGTCTGTAACACTATAAAGCAAAAGTCCGGTAGTTACAGTATCTCAAAATTGAACCGGGATGAGTAACTATGGCCGTCTTCCTTGAAATTACAGATGCCTCTCCTTTAAATCAGTCTCTTTTAATGGGCCCCTTTTCTATAGGTTCAAAAAATTCCCAAGACAATTACCAAATCTATCAATAAGCAACAGTATGGAGACATACACAGTCAAAGGCGAGGCACAGCTCAATAGCAGAAGAAAGAATGGAATCATCGAGAGGGCAGGTCCGCGTCAAAACCAGCCTTCCCACTTGTAACTGTATCTTCGATGTCTTTTTCACTAGTTATAAGTAGAAAAAGTTGGATTTGACAGTGACCTGCCATCTCGATTATTCCATTCGTTCTTCTACTAGTGAGCTGTTCCTCACCTTTGACGGTGTCTCCATACTGTTGCTTCACTATGAAGCAAAACTTCTCCAGACTGAAGGACCACTGCAAAGCTACATCTTTAAGGGGGGTGATGGACTGAATAATTACATCGTCTTTACATCTATACTGCTTCTGCTGATTCCTCTGTACTCGACTGATGAAGCCTACTGTGTAGGCGAAACGTTTATGAATAAAGATATCTAACTGTTGTACATGTCTTCCTTATAGAGAATAAACTTTGAATTGAATTGAATATCAGCTTGTCGGTATTGTATACCATATTCACACGAGGTACCATTAATTTATTCATCAATACACGTATTATTAAGGGGCTAGTAACCCTTTCTCCTAAATGTAAAAAGAAGAAAAACTTTCTTCTTTTTCGGGTCACCCGGCCTTGGTGGGAGACGGCCAATGCTGAAAAAAATAATATGTATTATTGGAGGCCTGTTACACCGCCTTATGCCTCTGCTCTTATCTATATGACTTGTTTTTTTAAGTTGGGCCTAACTAGATTTAACTAATACCTCATCAGGATGATTATTCATTCACTGGTTAATACCTGGAAGGTGTTCTGGGGGTCAACGCCCCCGCAGCCCGGTCCATGACCAGGCCTCCTCCAGGTTTAGCAACTTCATTTCTATAAAGTGGAATATGTAATACAAGTGACATGTATAAACTACAATACAGAAAGCTCTTTGCTATGCGAAGCTTGTAGGTCATTACATAGTTAATTATGTACAGTGTTAGAGCAATCAGTGAAGTAAATGACTTATTTATAATTTATATCTAAATAAGTCCTAGGTAGTAGGTTGGTAGACAGCAACCACCCAGGGAGGTACTACCGTCCTGTGGTAGTAGGTTGGTAGACAGCAACCACCCAGGGAGGTACTACCGTCCTGTGGTAGTAGGTTGGTAAACAGCAACCACCCAGGGAGGTACTACCGTCCTGTGGTAGTAGGTTGGTAGACAGCAACCACCCAGGGAGGTACTACCGTCCTGCCAAGTGAGTGTAAAACGAAAGCCTGTAATTGTTTTACATGATGGTAGGATTGCTGGTGTCTTTTTTCTGTATCATATACACGCGGGATAACAGGTACGTCTTGCTACTTCTACTTACACTTAAGTCACAATAAGTGTCAGGGGCCCGAGACTGTTCAACTGCCTCCCAGCATACATATTGGGGATTACCAACAGACCCCTGGCAGTCTTCAAGCTGGCACTGGACAAGCACCTAAAGTCGGTTCCTGACCAGCCGGGCTGTGGCTCGTATGTTGGTTTGCGTGCAGCCAGCAGCAACAGCCTGGTTGATCAGGCTCTGATCCACCAGGAGGCCTGGTCACAGACCGGGCCGCGGGGGCGTTGACCCCCGGAACTCTCTCCAGGTAAACTCCAGGTAAACACTACACATACATGTACATGCATATATATTTACACACCTATCTGGGTTTTCTTCTTTTTCTTAATAGTTCTTGTTCTTCTTTATTTATCTCCATGGGAAAATGGAAAAAAAATCTTCCTCCGTAAGCCATGCGAGTCATAAGAGGCGACTATAATGCCAGGAACAACGGGCTAGTAACCCTTTCTCCTGTGTAAATTACTAAATTTACAAGGAAAAACTTTCGAATTTCTTTTTAGGTCACCGTGCCTAGGTGGAATACCGCCGGTTCACTTTAAAAAAAAAATTAAATAAGTACATAGGAAAAAAAGATAGATAATTGCATGTGTTCTTTATCTTTTTTCAGAAGCCATTATAAGATAAAGCTCCAACGGCGGGTCATCCTCTAAGACCCGCGTCAGGAAACACTTGTTCTGTGTCCTGACGAACCTTACCTAACCTAAGATAAGATAAGCTTTATTTGGTTTATACATGTATGTGTTTTTACACTAGTTAAGGTCTCTTCGCTAGCTGAATTAACCTAGTAATTATTACAGCCATGAAGTGGTTATAAACCATAGAGAGTTTAAGCAACCATAGGACCTGTCTTTGTAATACTCATTTGTATTTTATAGTTATCTGTTTACAATAATGTCTTATCACTGATTTCATCATTGCTTAGTTAATCTTAAGTTAATTTTAAGCCAGCCCGTAATGCTATGCATATAAGTGGCTTTGGCATGCTGCTCTTACCTGTATTTTTTGTACCTCTGTTTGTATGCTAAAATTTCTAAATAAATAAATAAATAAATAAATAAATAAATAAATAAATAAGCAAGAGCCAAGGTATAGATTGGTGGTGTGAGTGGTTACCATGGTAACAGAGGACGCTACAGTCAGCTGACACTGGAGCATCAGTCACACCTGCGGTTCTGTGTAGTGATACACAATTATATATATATATATACGCATTCATATACACCGTGTACTGCACCCACACACCTGTTATAAGCACCGATCACAGCTAGAGGGAGTGAGTAAAAGATTTCTCAGGATCAAATATTGACTTTAAACATGGAGTGGTTGCATTTAAAAATTATATACTTGTATTCAAGGGCAATACTAAGATATTAGGGAATATATATTGCCTTGTTAATGTAGAATGGGAGGCCGTCAGAACAGATATAAAGGGAGGATAGCTCCAATTCCTTGTACAGAGAACCCACCAAGGCAACTACCTCCATTAAGGAGTAATTGAAATATGAATTATGATGGCAGCATTTATAAAGTTGTTGATGAATAACAAAAAAACGCACAATACCGTGACTGGAATAATACACAAATAACGCGCACATAAAAGAGGAGCTTACGCCGACGCTTCGGTCCGACTTGGGCCATTTACAAAGTCACACCATTTACAAAGTAAATTTGTAAATGATCCAAGTTGGACTGAAACATCGTCGTAAGCTCCTCTCTTCTATGTGCGGGTTATTTGTGTATTTTCTCTACGTCCACAGCAGGACTCGAACCTGCTAACTCTGTATCAGTCCACAGAACACTTCTATTGAGCTAGACCCAAGATAAGTATGGGCGTCCAGCCGGAGCCAGATTCCCCCATACCCCCGGGCACCATACCCCCGGGCACCATACCCCCGGGCACCATACCCCTGGGCACCATATCCTCGGGCACCATATCCCCGGGCGCCATACCCCCGGGCACCATATCCCCGGGCACCATACCCCCGGGCACCATACCCCCGGGCACCATACCCCCGGGCACCATACCACTGGGCACCATACCCCCGGGCACCATATCCCCGGGCACCATATCCCCGGGCACCAAGCTCGTTTTGAAAGTTATTTCATCGAATCCTGCCACATGCAGTGGACAACGAAAGAGATTTTAAATGCTTAACAATTAGCAAACAGGCGAAATTATTCACAAACATTGTCTCTACGTCCACATCAGGACTCGAACCTGCTAACTCTGTATCAGAGTCCACAGTACTCTACCACTGAACTAGACCCGAGATAAGCTTACAATTATTTAATAATAAACAAACAATGAAATTTTTTTTTTCGTTGGGTTCAGAATGATTATTGCGAAATTATTGCATACACAAATTTTCGCTTGCCTTATTCGGCAAGAAGAACGTTACCATATAAACCAAACTCGCAAATTTTATCTATTCGGCCCGACACACACACACACACACACACACACACACACACACACACACGCACACACACACACACACACACACACACACACACACACACACACACACACACACACACACACACACACACACACACACAGTAACAAGTAACAAGGGGACACAGTTGGAAGCTGAAGACACAGATGAATCACAGGGATGTTAGGAAGTATTTCTTCAGCCACAGAGTAGTCAGTAAGTGGAACAGTTTGGGAAGCGATGTAGTGGAGGCAGGATCCATACATAGCTTTAAGCAGAGGTATGATATAGCTCACGGCTCAGGGAGAGTGACCTAGTAGCGATCAGTGAAGAGGCGGGGCCAGGAGCTCGGACTCGACCCCCGCAACCTCAACTAGGTGAGTACAACTAGGTGAGTACACACACACACACACACACACACACACACACACACACACACACACACACACACACACACATATATATATATATATATATATATATATATATATATATATATATATATATATATATATATATATATATATATATATATATATATATATATATATCTTTTATATCAGTTTCACCTCTGTAAAAAAAGTGATTGTTGGGCATCCTTTCTGTGCAATTTTTTGTTTAATTTACAACTGTGGCCTCTTCGTTGCCGTGTTGAAGGTGCAACATCACTGTGGGGCAGCAGAAGCATACCACAGTAACTAACTAGAGGAATACCACTGTTAGGAGCAGTGAACCGGTGTCCACTGGTAAATTTTAGTCTGGTGGTTGTGGAATGATGGCAGGAGAGGTGGATGACGGAGCCTCACCACTGGAAGCTCTCAGAGCTCAGGTTCAACAGTTGTGTGACCAGGTCAGTAATACAAACATTTTGTTTGTCAGTGTGGTCAGGAATGCTAGGTAATGTCACTGATTGATGTCAGGTATGATGTGAGTTATTTTTATCATGAGTGTGATATCAGATATGTATTAATATGACAGTGATATCAAATATGATAGAATATGTTATTGTGAAAATAATACCAGATAATATAGATAATAATTTCCATGGTTAAAAGAATCTAGAAATTCAGTAAATTGAACTGAAAAACTCTGCTAGTGATATCAAAAGTAATAAAGACTGCCCTATAGATTTGTTTACTTTTGTCAATATTATTTTGTTACTATTTTGTGATATGTTCCCTTGGTTGTGTCCGTCTGCATGATAAATTTGTTGGGTTATTATAGGCTCAAGCTTAATTTAACCTCCATGTGTGTCTACAACAACTGTGTGTTCCGTGCATCCATTGTATGTTTCCTTACACTCGCTGTCCCTGTTCACCTAGCACTAAATATTTCCCTACATCTGCTGTCCCTGTTTGCCTAGCAGTGAGAAGTTAGCTAACTCTTCTGAGGTCACATCTTGACACAGGGATATACTTCGACATGAGTTAAGGTAGGATAGCAGATCCTAGCCTGTAAATTAACCTGTGTAAAACAACGAGAATTTGCTCGCACTAAAGTGTTGGTGTTCTCTAGGTGGAGGTTGTCCTGGAGGAGAACAGAGAACTGGAAGGTACCCAGTACCAGCTGCCTCTCACAGAGTTTACCCTCAACCCACGCCGCCTGGCAGTACTCCAGGACCGTCTTGTCCACACGTAAGCCACTAACCCAGTGTTAGTACCACTAGCCAACGTGAGCCACTAACTTAAGGTAAACCAGGTTAGTGGTTTAGTCTGACATACCGTAACCTATCCTAACTTAAAAATAATAATATGAGTAGGTTGAAAAAAAAAATCAGAAAACTGACGTTGAAAATATCAGAAAATTAACGAGTAATAGGACAGATTGAAGAGCCCCTGCCTAGCTGTGTGAGCGTGAGTGTTATTGTGTGGGCGTCGGTAATGTTGATAAGTACAGGCGTGGGTGTGCTCGCAATATGTGGGATCATTGGTGTGCATACGAAGGATGTGTGAGCATGGGTACTATGTATTTTAGAACTGGGCAACTTAACAGGGATATCACAATATTAAATTTACCATCTAGTTGCATATTTATTAGTGTTGAATACAGGGTGTTGATTTATCTCTCCCCTTCAAGCTGACATCTCAACACCCACACATTTTTTCCATATTTTTTACAATATATTATTTTCTAAAGCGCATTCACCAAATTTCCAGTTTAAACGCCAAAATTCCCCTTCTTCCTTTTCCTCCTTACTTTCCAGACTTTAACAGTGGTCGAATACATAGTCACTGGATTTTAACCCAAGCAAAAGCAAATTTTGGAAACGGAGAGATGGAAAAAGGAGACCAAATATAGAGATCATCTTGAGAAAAAGAAAAACCCTTTTAGAGATGTTGAAGGGAATCGAATACAAAAGACCATCAGGAAAACAGACACCTAGGGGTAAAATTACTCCCAGATCTGCCCAATGAAGCAGACATTACCAGAATAACAGCATCACAGCTAACTTCGTAAGTTACTGTAACAGACACTCCTCCAGGGAGGTGCCTTGATGCCTGTGAAGGCTCTTGATTCAAAGAACTGAAACTATTCCGCCTTTCCTTGGATCGATTCTGATTGCCTCCCATTCTCCTGGTTTTGTATGACCCCCTGCGGGCTTAGCGCTCCCCATGAATGGATTTAATAATAATAATAATAATAATAATAATAAAACAAATATTCGCTCAAAACACAATTTACCTCATATATGCACTCCATTCTTGAGTCAGCACCTGAGCGAAACTCGTCTACTGAAGCACAGTGGAACTGGAGACTGAATGAAGGAGCGGATCCAGACATGCCTGAAGGAACTGAACTGTTTACAAAGAATGAAAGAAGTATCAGTCCATAGCAGCCACGCTTGAGTCCTCCTGATGCAGATGAGTCTTTACACACACATCTTGTGTTATCTTATCTGGTTACAGCTGTTCAACCTCAAGATCATCGTTATATACACGTGATTCTCCCTTACCAGATATACAGGATGTATACACCGAGAGGTGTATGTTTCCCAGGGAATATACGCTGAGTTTATTTTATTCCTTATTGTAGGGAATCAAAGAATTCTTAAATGGAGGTGAACAGATCACCATTTGTTAAGGTGTAACTGATCCTCGTGTAGCCGATAGGCTTTAAATCCCGTTAACCAACCAACCTATTAGCTACCCTATTAATGAGTGGGTTCTTATGTGATTCAGTTGGTTTACAACTGGCTTGATCTATATATGACTGTGCTTGATTCTATAAATTCGATTTTTTAACATGATTCGTTTTATGTATTCAATAACACGTCCATTTGTGTCGTCTTTCATAAGCGTAAGGGCACCTCTACTAACAAATGGTTATTTACTGTTTTTGTTAGAATTTCATTAAGAACAATGATAATAGGATGTTTGGAATGTGCAACTCAATTAATTCATCCCATGTTATTTGGTTAAATTGATGGTCACTTTTATTGTCTGATTCCTGGGAAGCTTTATTAACCTAGTATTGTAATTATTTTATCTGACCTTTAATCTCTGTTAGGGTGTCTCGGCTCCTCCTTTCTCCGTCTCATTCGCTAGTTGTCCTCACCCCCCCCCCTCCCTCACTCTCTCTCTCTCAGCTCTCACGATCTCCGCAATCCTTCCATTTATAGAATGGTCACTGATATTAGTAGACATTCTTTATTTGTTCGCCGCCCCTGTTTGCTCCGTCCCTTTTCTCTTCGCCTACATTCGCTCTTGTCTTCCCTTCAGTTACCACCTTTATATGTTCATGTAGCATCTCACTTTTCCCTACCCCCCTGGGAAGTTCCAGCTGTTCAAGTCTGTTCTTTCTCACTCCCTTGCTCGAAAGCCCAACTGCCTACGGTGGCTTCCCGCTCTCTTTTTCATTCTCATGCCATCGCTGTGTACACAGATGGCTCTAAGTCTTCAGACGGCGTTGGATTCGCAGCAGTGTTTCCGGACAGCGTCGTGCGAGGGCATTTACTATCTTCGGCTAGCATTTTTACTGCTGAATTGTATGCCATTCTTGCAGCACTTATTCGTATCGCATCTATGCCTGTGTCATCATTTGTGATAGTCTCAGACTCCCTTAGTGCTCAACAGGCTATACGAAAATTTGATACATCTCACCCCCTAGTTCTCCATATCCAACTTTGGCTACGCCGTATCTCTACCAAACATAAAGATATTGTTTTCTGTTGGGTCCCTGGTCATGTCGACGTACAGGGCAATGAACAGGCAGACGCTGCTGCGCGGTCAGCAGTACATGACCTACCAATTTCATATAGAGGTGTTACATTTCTGGACTATTTTGGTGTAATAGCTACCCACCTTCACACCCGTTGGCAACAACGTTGGTCAACTCTGCTTGGTAACAAACTTCATTCTATTAAACCGAGCATAGATTGCTGGCCGTCTTCTTGTCATCAGTGCCGAGGTTGGGAGACCACTCTCTCCCGCCTTCGCATTGGCCACACTCGTCTTACTCATGGGTATCTCGTGGAGAGGCACCCTGTTCCTCTCTGTGAGCAGTGTCAAGTTCCCGTATCAATTATCCACATTCTGTTAGACTGCCCTCTCTATCAACGAGCACGCAGAATTTACCTCCGTCGTCGTCTCCGCTCTACTAATCTCTCTTTACCTTTCCTTCTTGCTGATGGACCCTCTTTTAATCCTGACTCTCTCATTGACTTCTTGACAACGACTGATTTACTCCACAAACTCGGATGATGATACCTTTCGCACTCCCCTCAGCCCTTTCTACCTCAATCTCTTGCTGCCCTTTACCCTTTCACCATCCACTGCCCCGCTGTTCTCCGTAACCTATTACTCATCCATCTCCCTTTTACCACCTGATGCCCTCGCTTCCTTCCTGCCCTGCAACGCTGTATAGCCCTTATGGCTTAGCGCTTCTTTTTGATTATAATAATAATAATCTCTCTCTCTCTCTCTCTCAACTATTCACATCATGTATTTTGTTTACATTTCCCTGTCAGTCTTATAAATCTTACATTTCCGACTTCATTTAAATGTATACAATCTGCATTAAAAAATAATTCTCTCCTTGAAATTATCCCAAAGATCTAAGTAATATATTTTGTCCATTTATATATATATATATATATATATATATATATATATATATATATATATATAATATATATATTATATTTATATTATATTATTTTTTATTATTAACACACTGGCCGATTCCCACCAAGGCAGGGTGGCCCGAAAAAGAAAAACTTTCACCATCATTCACTCCACCACTGTCTTGCCAGAAGGGTGCTTTACACTACAGTTTTTAAACTGCAACATTAACACCCCTCCTTCAGAGTGCAGGCACTGTACTTCCCATCTCCAGAACTCAAGTCCGTCCTGGCGGTTTCCCTGAATCCCTTCATAAATGTTACTTTGCTCACACTCCAACAGCACGTCAAGTATTAAAAACCATTTGTCTTAATTCACTCCTATCAAACACGCTCACGCATGCCCGCTGGAAGTCCAAGCCCCTCGCACACAAAACCTCCTTTACCCCCTCCCTCCAACCTTTCCTAGGCCGACCCCTACCCCGCCTTCCTTCAACTACAGACTGATACACTCTTGAAGTCATTCTGTTTCGCTCCATTCTCTCTACATGTTCGAACCACCTCAACAACCCTTCCTCAGCCCTCTGGACAACAGTTTTGGCAATCCCGCACCTCCTCCTAACTTCCAAACTACAAATTCTCTGCATTATATTCACACCACACATTGCCCTCAGACATGACATCTCCACTGCCTCCAGCCTTCTCCTCGCTGCAACATTCATCACCCATGCTTCACACCCATATAAGAGCGTTGGTAAAACTATGCTCATACATTCCCCTCTTTGCCTCCAAAGACCAAGTTCTTTGTCTCCACAGACTCCTAAGTGCACCTATATATATATATATATATATATATATATATATAATATATATATATATATATATATATATATATATATATATATATATATATATATATATATATATATGTATATATGTGTGTGTGTGTGTGTGTGTGCCGAATATGTAAAACTGGTCAATTAGTAAGAACTCATTTAAAATTAAGTCTTTTCAGAAATTTTCTTTTATACGTTTAAAGATATATTTTTTTCATTAATGTTAATGTAAGAATTTTTAATTTTGCACCAAAAGAATCTTAGAAAACTTACCTAACCTTATTTTAACAAGAGCAATTTATTTTAGCCTAACCCAACTAAATTTATTTTAGATTTGTTTACAGTAATTTAATACTAAACAAACACAGTGATATATATTTTTTTCGTTAGGTTCAGAATGATTTTGGCGAAATTATTGCATACACAAATTTTCACTTGTCCTATATGGCAAGATTAACGTTGCTATTGAAGCCAAGATCGCAAGTTCTACCTATTCGGCACGACATATATATATATATATATATATATATATATATATATATATATATAATATATATATAAAATATATATATATATATATATATTATATATATATATATATATATATAATATATATATTATATATACACATGTATATTCTATTTTCTATTATAATTTTGCTTATGGTATAAATGTTAACGCCATTCGTTGCCAGCAGACCCCAGGCAATTGGCCTCTCAATGTTATCTTTAAATTACTTGATAAGAATCGTTATCTCTCCAAAAACCTCCTCTAACCTGGCTTTCGCAATATAGTTTGTACCTATATACGTCACGAAGACGTAACCAGATAAGTATTTTTTGATAACTCACCAAATTCATTTAAATCTCTAATCTATGTGTCAGAAAATCAAACTTTTCTCTTTCCACTTTTACTACAAAATAATTCTTGAACCTCTCTTTTACTCTCGCTTTCTCACTCATCTTTTATCACATTACAAACAAAACAAATATCAGAGGGATTGTAACTGAATGAAAAAAAAATTGAGAATGTGTAGAGTCAAAGAGATGAAAGAGTTACTGCTGTGTATTAAAGATACTAAATAATAACTTGTAAGTCCCAGAACTTCGATACCATGTTGGTTGGTTAGCCTCGTATACAGATATATAAATAAATAAAAAGTTCACGACTTACGAAATGACTGTTGGTCCAAAACGACTGTGGTTGTGAATTCACTAGAGAACTATAATAAATTTGAAGTTTTCGACACAGCTGACTTGTGGAACCCCAAATAATTAATATAGATTTTCTGGTTAGACAGAATTCTGTTGCAGAAATAGAGAAGAGTAAAAGCTTGGTAGGAACAGTAAGGCAGCGATAGTAGGAAAGCTTGTGAGATAGGTTACAAATGGTATTGTAAAAAAATAGTTCCTAATTAGCACAAACACAGTCCTCCCATCTTCCTACCTCTCATACACGATGATATCCTCATCCCTAGTGAAGTCTCCTAGCTCACACTAACAGATTTCATCACCTGTTGTACTAAACAAATCCCGTGTATTAGGATATGAAAGGGAAACTACTAATATATTGGAAACAAACTCTAGCTATTATATATAATAGGTTAAAAATACATTGCTGATGTACCCAACTTTGTTTAATATAAAAGTAGCCTTACTTGATCATGGAGTGGGGTGCCCGAGGAGCTGCTAATGAGAGCCTTGTGACCACTTGCCTCACAGGGAGGTGGGTGTGGTGCGGGAGGTGGAGAGGACACGCCTCCACAAGCTACTGCAGTGTCACTACCTGAAGGACGTCGCCTGGGACACCATGGCTGTCAAGGCTCGCTCTCTCTTTGTCAGTCTTCACACGCATCATGTTCAGGCACCCTTTTAAATATATTTTTATATTCCTCTGTATTTACCATGATAAATTATATATATTATACGAAAATATATTTTATAAAAAATAAATGTTTATTATCAGAGAATAACATAGGATATATTATATATAATATATATATATATATATATATATATATATATATATATATATATATATATATATATATATATATATATATTATATATATATATATATATATTTTATATATATATATATATATATAATATATATATAATATATATATATATATATATATATATATATATATATATATGTCGTGCCGAATATGTAAAACTGGTCAAATAGCAAGAACTCATTTAAAATTAAGTCCTTTCTAAAATTTTATCTTATACGTTTAAAGATATATTTTTTTCATTAATGTTGATGTAAAAATTTTTAATTTTACACCAAAAGGAACTTAGAAAACTTACCTAACCTTATTATAACAAGAGCAATTTATTTTAGCCTAACCCAACTAAATATATTTTAGATTTGTTTACAATAATTTAATACTAAACAAACACACAAAATGTTTTTTTTTCGTTAGGTTTCAGAATGTTTTGGCGAAATTATTGCATAAAAAAATTTTTCGCTTGCCCTATAGGAAAGAGAGCTTTGCTTTTTAAGCAAGATGCAAGTTCTGCCTATTCGGCACGACATTATTAATTTTAAAATTTTAAATATATTATTTATATATATATAAAATTATATATATAATATAATATATATATATATATATAATATATATATAAATATATATTATATAAAAATTTTTAAAAAATATTAATATAAAAATTTAATATATATTATTATATATAAAATTTGTCTCCTAATAGGAAAAACGGGCCCAAATTTAGCAAAACTCTTTTAAAATTAAGTCATTTCAAAAATTTTCTGTTATACTTTAAATATATTTTTTTCATTAATTTGATGAAATTTTTTTATAGTTTTTCCCCCAAAAAGAACTTAAAAAACTTACCAACCTTATTATAACAAAAACAATTTATTTTAGCCAACCCCAAACCTAAATCTTCTAGTTTTGTTTACAATAATTTTAATACAAAAACAAAACGTGAAATATATTTTTTTGTTGGGTTTCAGAAGATTTGGCGAAATTTTTGCATAACAAATTTTCACTTGCCTATAGGGAAAGATGAGGTTCTTTTTAAAGCCAGACGCAAGTTCTCCTATTCGGCACGACACATATATTATAGCAAGGAATTCGCGAGAGCATGCAAAATAACAACACGTATATTGTTATATTTCGCATCTCTCGCAAATTTCCTTGCATTGTTCAAATCTCTAGTAAGGCTGATGAGGAGGGGATGAGATGAAAAGCTGTAACCTTGCCCCTGAAAGCTGGCTCCCTTTGGAAAAAAAAACGTGTAGCGCATCAACCCAAAGGGTTGTCCAGTGTGGGAGAAATTGTAAAGCACTGCGTCCCTTTGTCCAAGGTTCGTAGGTTCGGTCTCCTTCAGCCAGAGATCAGTTTTTTAAATATTAAAAATTTTAAAATTTATATATATATATTATTATATATTTATAATATATATATTATTTGCTAAAGAATAACAGTGTATGGGGAAGATGTGAAATGCTTTCAGAAGGGTCAGAAAAATTTGTTATGTATAAATTATTAATGATGACGTTCTGTGAGGCATTTTTCCCTACAGGTATCCAGTGACGTCAGTGTGGGGAAACTACCCAGTGCGAGCCAAAACCCGGATGTGGCGGGTGGAGCCGCGACACACCAGGGGGGTTTTGGGATACTCACACAACACACATCAGCTATATAACTGCTACAACATAGGGGCGCCTGGCAAACCTGAGAACAGCGTTTCAACATCTCAGAAGGAGTCACTCACGACAATTACAACCGTGTACGTCAAGCCCATTCAAAGGTATTAACACCGGTATGGAACCCATCCCTGGTTAAACACTCAAAAAATTAGAGAAAGTGCAAAGGGTTTGCAACAAACTAGCCCCGGGTGGGGGTATCCCTATGAGGAAAGTTAAAAGGGAAATTCAATTTGACAAAAAATAGAAGGCAGATGGGAGGGGGGGACGAAACGACATTAACATACGAGGGGAAAATTGAAAAGGGGATGGGATAGAATGTTCGGGAATGGGCAAACAAAAAGGGGTCACAGTGGAAGCTGAAAACTCAGATGAGTCACGGGGATGTTTAGGAAGTTTCTGTCAAGTTGCCAAAAAATGGAACTTTAGACTAGAGTAAAATGTAGGGGAGGCGAATTCATACATAGCTTATCATACAACCACAAATAGTTACATGCTCGCGCGCACACACACATACACTTACAAAAAAAATTAAATCGCCCCCTGAACCAAAAATAGGCAGTAAAACAACACACCCGGCCTTTTATTGCAAAAATGAAAAATCCCTCCGCATTTTTTAAAAACCGTGTTTTATTTTATTAGTACTTTTAAAAATAATGGACCCAGTTCCCCCAAAAAAGGGGAGAAAAATGTGGAAAATAATTTTCCCCAAATTTATCTGTTTAAAAAAACCCTGTTTAAAATACGTTACATTTTTCGTTGAGTGCATTTAAATAAAAAAACGAGAGAAGCTCTGCGCCTGCGCTGACGGGGAGGGGGAGACGCCATTTTTTTTTGAATGGGTAAAGCACACTTGAAAGGGTAAAATTTGGGCTTAAAAGCTTTCAATAGGAGCCGAAATTGTTGGATGTGCATCCTGCATAATTTGAGCATTAAACAGATGTAAGGCAGCCCCAGGACCTCAGATAAGCATCAAAATTATTTTGAAATTCGGGCCATTTTATCATCAAAATTTTTGGGTAAGGGGGGTTTGTACATGACACACTGTAATCCCCAGACAAATTGGGAGTGTTATGATTATAAATTCTCCTTCTGTTATATAAAGTGAAAAGTAATCATTTATTAATTTAATATACACCCCAAAAATTTTAAATTTTAAAATTTTTTAACCAAAATTTCCTGGTGTGTACATTTCTTTGAAATTTTTAAAAAGGTTTGAGCAACTTTGGAGAGATAGAGGTAGGTATCGAAGGGGACATTTTTTGCGACCTGGGTGTCCAAAAAAATTCCCTTGTCTCTGTAATTTGATAAATAAAAATTACCTTTGTTACCATTATTTGTATGATCTAATGAGATTCACCCAGGTAAATGTAAATTTCCAAAAAAAAATCATATTTTTCTCTAAGTTTTTGAATAATTTTTTCGTCTTGATAGACTTTCATCTCCTCCTTTCCCCTTCTTTAAATTCTTTTACTTTTTTTTTTTTATTCCCGCCTTTATTCCTTCCATCATCCTCTTTTTTTTTCCAGGATAGGGAGATAGAGGCATTCAAAAGGTTTCCCGGGCAAAAGCCATGGCGGGACGCCCCCGTAAAGCCGGAGTCTGGAAGAAGGCGCAAATTGCAGACGATAAGACTTCACGAACGTTGAGCCTCCAAGTCCCCGGAAGCCTTCGAGGGACGGGGGAAATATTCATGGGAAAGGGGTTTAAGCTCACAGCCCCCGACAAAGCGGGAGTGAAAGCGGGGAGTGGAGCTTAACCTTACAGGTGTTATGGGGAACTGCTGTACCCGCAGCGGGAACCACCTGCAGGAACGGGTAAGCAGCAGCGGGTGCTCATCAGGGTTATAACTCAGAGGTTCAACCTCCAGTAAAAATTTCCATTTCACACCCCGCTACTGTTTTTTTTTCGGTTATTTTTAAAATGGAAAGATGCTGCCTTAGGAGAAAAACCCTGTATTTTTTTTTGCTTTCCACAATGAGTTTTTTTTGCAGTCAATTACTGCAGTTCCTGAACGCAGTAATTAAATTTCGATAACAGCGCAGTGACTGAATACTGAGAGTGCAGCTGTTAAACACATTCGAAAATAAGAGATAATCGTATGTATAACAATGCGTAACGAATATCGGGGGTATCGTAAAAAGTTTTTGATGCACGCCTCAGGGGGCCTTAAATGCCAGGTTCGATGCTGGCACCTGAGGAAGGGCAGAGTATCGGGGAGGTGGCAACTTACTCAAAACGTCAACAACTAAAGGGTCTGGGGCCTCAAATGAAATAGGTTCGGGCCCCCGGGGGATGGTTCTACTTAAGTTTATTATTATTATTTTTAAATTATTTTATTATTTATTATTATTTTTATTTTATTTTTATTATTATTTTTATTTTATTATTATTATTATTATTTTTAAAAAAAAAAAGCGCTAAACCTACAAGGGTCCATGCAGAAATTTTTAAAGTGTTAAGGGTTTTAAACGTCTGTGACAATGAACTGGTTTTGCATAATTTTCCTTGGGGGTTCAGAAGATTCCCCCAGAAGCATATTTTGGTCCGGGAACTAACGCCCAGCATACGTTAGGACTGAAGTTCATTGTCCATTTTTTCTTCTAAATTTTCAATGTACCTCCTAAAAATATTAATTTTCCCAATTTTTTTCTTGGAATACCCCCTTTAATTTTAAAAAGTTTTTTTGGTTACCTAAAAGGACCCAAAAATCTAATAGGAACAACGAAGTTTGGGCTCTTTTTAAAGTACGAATTAGTATTAGTCTGCCCCAAAAAGCCTAGGGAACCCAGGCATATAGGGGCCCTTTTTTGTCATAAGTATTTTATAAAACGCAATAAATTTTTAAATGAAATCCCCCATTTTAAAAACCAGAGAAAAAAAGAATTTTTAAATTTTTAATTTTTAATTTTTAAAGGGGTCGAGGTTCCAAAAATACACTTTTTTAAGTTAAAGATAATTATTAAATGCTCTTTTTGCTTATATCTGCATACGTATTGTCAATTTATAACATATATATTTATGCATTTGTTTTATTTTTAATTTATATACGGAATTATGTAAGAGAAAAGCTGAGTAAAAATGCGAAGTTATTTAGAAATAGATATAATTTGTGGGAAAATACTGTACAATCGAATCGAATCGAGGACGAGGATCTGTCGTAAATGGGGAAAAAGAAGATATGGAAGGGTGGA